AGCCCTTCACCTAAGAGGTGTGTCACAGCCCCCTACTTTGTGCCCATTAGGTAAGAGCTAATCAAAGTCCCTCTCTCTTCCCTCTCCCCTCCCCTCCCTTTCCCCTTTCATCCACCCTTCTTGAATTTTATTGTGTTTTTCTTTCATATAGGTATGTAGTTGTTTATCAACTAGTTTCATATTAGTATTGAGTACCTTGGATGCTTGCTTTTCCATTCTTGCAATACTTTATTTAGGAGGATGTTCTACAAATCCATCCAGGTGAATACAAAAGATATGAAGTCTCCATCTTTCTTTATGGCTGAATAGTATTTCATGGTATACATATACCACAGTTTATTTATCTATTCATGAGTTGATGGGTACTTGGATTGTTTCCACATCTTGGTGATTGTGAACTGAGCTGTGTTAAACATTCTAGTGCAAATGTCCTTGTGGTAAAATGATTTTTTTTCTCCTGGGTAGATACCTAGTAATAAAATAGGAGGTCTGTTTTTATCTTGTTGAGGATTCTCCATATTTCTTTCTAGAAAGGCTGTATTAGTTTGCAATCTTATCAACAGTGTATAAGTGTTCCCTTCTCTCTGCACCCACACCAGCATCTGCAGTTTGAGACTAACTCAATCATTTAAAGAGGCAGACAAGAAGAGAGAAAAAGCAGAGCAATCTCTTAGAGAATCATGGAATTGTTTTAAATTTGATTTTCAGATTATTCATTGCTTGTGATATAAATAGAATTAATTTTTGTATATTGACCTGGTATTTTGCCAACTTTAAAAAAATTATTGTGGGTATACAATAGTTGTATGTCTTTGTAGGGTATATATGATGTTTTGATATAGGCATGCAATGTGAATTAATTAAATCAAATTTATTAGGGTATCCATCACCTCAGGCATTTATCATTTATTTGTGTTAGGAACATGCCAATTCCATTCTTTTGGATACTTTAAAGTGAATCCTAACTTATTGGTGATTATAGTCACTTTTGTGCTACCAAATACTATGTATTTTATCTAATTTTCTAGCTATATTTTTGCACCATTAACCATCTTCACTTTATCCTCCTTCCCCGCTTCCCTTCCCAGCCTTTGATAACCCTTTTTCCACTCTCTGTCTCCATGAGATCAAATGTTTTTAATATTTAGCTCCCACATATGAGTGAGAACATGTGAGATTTGTCTTTCTGTGTTTGGCTTATTTCATGTAATAAAATGTTCTCCATTTACATCCATGTTGTTGCAAATGGCAATATCTCATTTTATTTTGTGGCTATCTAATATTCTGTTGTGTGTTTGTACCATGATTTCTTTATCCATTTATCCATTGATGGTACACTGAGGTTGATTCCAAATCTTGGAAGTAGTGAGTAGTGTTGTGAGTAGTGTTGCAATAAACATGAGAGTGCAGATATCTTTTCAATATATAGAATTCCCCAACCTTTAATACACACCCAGCAATGGTCATATAGTAGTTCTATTTTTAGCTTTTTGGGGAACCTCTATACTGTTCTCCATGGTGGTTGCCCGACTTTACATTCCCACCAGCACTGTACTGTATCCTGCCAACTTGTAATCTAATTTATTAGTTTTTAAAGTTTTTTAGGAGATCCTTTAGGATTTTATGCAAAAATCATATATATATGTATGATTATACATATGTAATCATGTATATGATTATCCATAATCATATAATCTTCAAATAAAGATACTTTTACATCTTCCTTTCCAATCTCTTTTTTTGTGCCTAACTTTTTTGGCTAGAATCTTTAGTCAGTGTTGATTAAAGTGATGAGTACCATCATACTTATTCCTGTTCTTAGGGAAAAGGCATTCAGTTTTTCTACATTAAGCAAGATATGGTTTTCCACAGATACTCTTAATCAGACTGAATCAACTTCTTTCTATTCCTAGTTTTCAAAGGTTGTTACTTTTTTTTTAAAGACAGGATTCTGCTCTATTGCTCAGGGGTATAATGCAGTGGCATCATTATATCCCATTACAACCTCAAACACCTAGGCTCAAGAGAGCCCCACAAGTATCTGGGACTATAGGTACATGCTATCACACCTGGCTAATTTTTCTAGTTTTTGTAGAGATGAGGTCTTGCTATATTTCCCAGGCTGTTTTTGAACTTTTGTCTTCACAGGATTCTCTTGCTTCAGTCTCTCAAAGTGCTGAGATTGCAGATGTTAGCTACTGTGCCTGGCTTTTAAAGTATTTTTTTTTTTTTGATGAAAAATGATGGATTTTGTCAACTGCTTTTTCTGTGTATTGAGGAAATCATGTTTTGTATTTCTCTCTTTTCCTATTAATATGATTAATTGATTTTTGCATGTTAAACCAATTTTACATTTCTGAGATAAATCAACCTTTGTCATGATTGTTTTATATTGTGCTGAACATGGTTTGATAGTATTTTGTGTCTGTATTTATAAGGAGTAATTATCTGTTTTTTTATGTTCCTTTTTAAAGAACACTTAGAGTGTCTTTTGAAAAAAAATTCATAGTTAATAAAAAGAAATGGAATCTCCATATAATTTTCATGTAGATTCTCCAAACACTAGCATCTGTACTTGATTCGGCATTTTCTACCTATATCCGTATCTATGTGTGTGTGAGAGTTTTTTCTCAAATACTTGTGAGTATCTTGCATATATGATACCCCCATATTATTAAATAATTTAGTATTTCCTTACATAAAATATATAACATATACTGTGTTTCCCCGAAAATAAGACACTGCCTTATATTTATTTTTTCTCAAGAAGACACACTAGGGCTTATTTTCAGGGGATGTCTTCCTCTCTGAACTGAAATGCATGGTGTGGCTGCATAGCCACACCCATCACTAGGTCTTATTATTGGGGTAGGGCTTATATTTAACAAATGCATACATTTGAATTCTCTGTGGATTCTGGTGATTAACCCTTTGTTGGAGACATAACCTGCAAATATCTTCTCCCATTCTGAGGACTGTCTGCTTGCTTTACTTACTGTGTTCTTGGCTGTTTAGAAGCTTTTTAGTTTGATCAGGTCCCAGTAGTGTATTTTTGATGTTGCTTCAATTGCCTGGGGAGTCCTCCTCATAAAATTTTCACCCAGGCTGATTTCTTCAAGTGTTTTCTCTACACTATCTTCTAGTATTTTTATAGTTTCATGTCTTAAGTTTAAATCTTTAATCCAGTCAGAGTCTTATCTTAGTTAATGGTGAAAGGTGTCCATTAAACAGGTGAAAGGTGAAAGGTGCGGGTCCAGTTTCAACCTTCTACAGGTCACCAGCCAGTTTGCCCAGCACCATTTGTTAAATGGGGATTGTTTTCCCCACTGCATGTTTTTAATTGGCTTGTCAAAGATCATATAGTGGTAAGTAGCTGGGTTCATCTCTTAGTTCTCTGTTCTGTTCCATACATCTACCTCTCTGTTTTTGTGGCAGTACCATGCTGTTTTGATCACTATGGATTTATAGTATAGTCTGATGTCTGGTAGTGTGATTCCTCCTGCTTTGTTTTTATTTCTGAGTAGTGTCTTAGTTATTCAAGGTTTTTTTCTGATTCCATATAAAATGAAGTATTATTTTTTTGAGATCTTTAAAGTATGACAGTGGAGCTTTAATAGGGATTGCATTAAAATTATATATTGCTTTGGGTTGTATGGACATTAGCAAGAAAAGAACAAGTGATCCCATCTCGGGGTGGGCAAGGGACTTGAA